GAGCGGAGCGGCCCCAGGCGAGACGGGCTCCGGCAGGGCGAGGAGCCGGTTGCCGCTCATGGGAAAACTGCCGTTGCTTTCCGGAGTATCGATTTTATTATTGCTGCTTCAGCTGGGGATTTCCCTGCCTCTGCACTGGACTGCAACGTGCCCCGGCCCCAGGGAACGGCAGGGAGAGGGGCTGCGGGTTAATGCACCTAGCGAGGCTCCGTTTACAACGGGGACCCCGACTTCCAGCCGGCCCGTGTGCGGGGTAGAGACTGAGAGCAGATGCTGAGAGTCCGGTGAAGGGTGAGCGCGTGGGGCAGACCCTTCTCCCCATCACGCGGGGAGGGAGCCCCTCCGAGAGCTCCCAGCCCTACGGCCTGCGATGCGCAGTCAGACAGACCCCGTTTCTTGCAGCCAGGCTAGCCTGCGCCGGGACTGGCACCGTGCTAGCAGCACCCTTTACTTTCCCTCTGCCAGCTGTGAAGTTGCAGGAGAGTTCAGCGCTTGGAATAAATGCGTGATACCAAAGTTAACTTTTGCAGCCAAGCCGTTTGATAGCCCTCCCCTGCAGACAGTGTTTAAGGCAGGTTTAAAGCAAAGGCACTTTCCCCTCTGGTAGGGTACAAAGAAAAGAGCTCATGAAAGAGGCAGGCTTTGAACGTGCTGGTTTGCTTTTCTTCCTTTGAACTTGGTAGAGACGCGCGCAGCCCCTCAGTTCAGGGCTGAGGGTCGTGCCGCTGTACGCACGCAACAACTGGCCAGGCTGTTCATCCCGGCTTTCGGGCACGTCTTGATGCACCAAGCACCACAGCACAACAGCCTGGGCAACACCACGGACCTTGAGGCCCTGCGCCCCCGAGGGTCAGCAGGCAGAGAGAGGCGCTAGACTTGGATTCCTCTTCTTAACCACAGTTGTGGCAAATGTAAAAACATCAAATCAGATCCCTGCTCTCCTAGGAGAGCTGCAAAATCCAGCTCTCCAATCCCCTATATGACTTTACACCACTGGTGTTGCACAGTCACGCAGAATGACCGTGCAATGGTCATGGCAAATGCCGAATCTGGTCGGCCGCCCTTACGGCCGGGTTGTAAGGGCTCGAGCAGACCCGGGGCCCAGGACGCCGCGCTCCTTGCCCATCTCTGGCAGGGAAGCACCACCCAGCGACCAGACCACGAGAGAGAAAATCACCGCTTCTGGGTTGTGCTCCTGACATCACCCTCGTCTCACCTTCCCGACCCCCTGGGAACTACGAGGCTCAATTAAAGCAGCGTTTGGGAAACACTTGGGAGATTGTTGAGCAGCGAGTGCTAGGGAAGGGCAAGGGGATGAAACCACAGGGTTCAAAGTGCCAGCTGCGCTGCTGAACTGGAGAGGTGCCCAGCTCATCCCAGTGATCCAGGAGAGCTAACGAGCAAGACTTCTCGGGGTGGAATCGTATTTGACTTTGGCTTTTTACACTGTTCAGCAACACATTCAGGTCTCCCTTCGCTACCGGGGCCATCTGGGCTCTCCACGATCCAGGAGCAATTAATGCTTTGGAGAAAGATTTGATTTCTGTTCACGGGCTGTACCTGTGCCCAGGTGTAGCCAGCCAAAGATCGAGAGATGGAAGTGGCAAGAGGTCCCGGCGCGGGAGGGAGCGTTTGTCAGCATGTGTCCCCGCAGCGTGGGACAGGGGAGGGATTCTTGCAGGCCACACGCAGCCGGCCACAGGACAGTTGCACTCCTGCAATCACTGCTCATTCACTATAGAGGAACGTGCTCAAAAGCAGTTTACCAGTTCTGAGTCACCCGGTGCCAGAGCTGGGCAGGGCACCCCGAGGGCATCAGTCTACCCATGGGTCCGCCATTAACATGATAAAGGGTGGTGGAGACGGGAACTGGAGCCTGCCTGGAGGCAGGCATGGGGGAGAGGACCTGCTGGTATTAGTTGCCTACAGTTCTCCTGCGCTAAAGCGGGACCGCTGGGGCTGCAAGGTCCTGCAGAGGAGGAAGAGCTCAGCATGGTTCTCCCACCGTTCCTGCGATACCCAGACCACCGAGGGGGGAAGAGGATGTCGCAGTTGCCCTATTGCCGCCTGCTTTTACTCTTTGCAGAGTATAGGATAACCCCAGGATATACGGAGAGGAGAAGAGGGGGAAATAACCCACTGGGGACAGAAGTGCTACAGGGAGAAAGAAGCCGGGATAAAGAGGGACAACAGGAGAGAGGAGGCTCTGGCGTTCGTTGCAGGACAGGAGATGGTAGGACCACGGGCTCAGGTCACTTCCCAGTGCTTTGGGAGAGGGTGCTACAGACACATCCCGGATAGGGAGCAATAGCAAAAGACAGTACAGGAAAAAAAAAAAAAACCCTGTATCTTATTCTCTCTTTTTAAAGAGAGAGAAACAAAAAAATCTGCTGGTGCTGGGCACCTCCCCCTTGGTTTGGGGGAGGGAGAGGAATCCGAATGCGCCTTTCCTAAGCTCTTGTGGCTGGCGATGCTGGCAAAGCGCTCCGTGCTCTCTGCTGCCTCTTTTGGGGACTGAGGCTGGATAGCAGGAACCCTGCGGGCCGAGGCAGGAGAAGGAGACAGCGACTGATGGCAGCCAGGATGTTGGATCACGGAGAAGGAATGTTGTTGTGAAGCGGCCGAAAGCTCGGGGTGGGAGTGACTCAGGCTGGAGAACACGCAGCTGTTGGCGCACGGCTTTGGCACTGCCTTGCCGAGGCTGCAGAAACCTTCCCCGCTAGCAGA